CATCTCTGCCAGGAGCTCAAATTGTGCTCTATATGCTTCCCACGGTGCCTTCCCATCGAATATCTGTGGGTTTCTTCGTACTAGATCACCCTAATAATAATGCTGACATTCATATCTGGGATGTGACTTCTAACAAGACTGAAGATGTCTGCATTAGGGTTTAGCTGTGGGGTCTGGAAGGGGCTTCCTGTTGTCTGAGGCTGATTAGGTCGATGGCTAATATATCCTCCTTGTGTAAAAGACAGTAAATCATTCTTTAATGTATTTAATTCACTAATGTTTTCCATTTGTGTACTCTGGCTTTCTCTCAACTGTTGGAGACTTTCTTCTTGTTTATTTTCTTTCTCCTCCAACCACTGCTGTATTCTCTCTTTTATTCATTTTCTTTCTCCTCCAACCACTGCTGTAGTCTATTTTCTTGTTTATTTTCTTTCTCCTCTAACCACTGCTGTAGTCTCTCTTCTTGTTTCTTTTCTTTTTCCTCCAACAACTGTTGTAATCTCTCTTCTTGTTTCTTTTCTTGCTTATTTTCTCGTTCTTCTTGTTTCTTTTGCTGTTCTTGTATTGCAGTCATCAAATCTGCTAAGCTGTAATTTGATTTACCACTTCTCGTTTCCATTTTGTTTTCTTTTCCGTCCCACTCTCTGACACCAATTTGTTACATCTCTGGTTTATTCTTTCTGAATATAACTTTGCGATACACTTAATTTCAACAGTCGCGCTAAAACAAACGCTATAACAACGAACGTCTCACGTGTTCAACTTCAACAATACTCTCTGACTGCAGTTCAATTACTCATTACCTCGTCACGTTGTGATCATCTTATATATACCAGACTACCCCCAATCTAGTAGTCTCCCGATAATTCACGAAGGTTCCGAGAGAAGGACGTGGCGTGATACTAGTCACGTGACCTCGATGTCGTAACAATATTAATCTTTTTCTACTTGTAGAAGCAGCTACAGCTTCAGCTTCTTTCGTTTCTTCTGATGCAACGGAATCCGAATGCACAGGCACAGATTTTAAAAAAAGACAGTAAACTATCTTTCTGTTTTTATTCATGCTCTTTGCACTTCCTGATGCATAATGCCGTTTCATATTCACGGGGCGCACCCAGTAGCACAGCGGTATGTTTGCGGCCTTACAATGCTAGAAACCAGGTTTCGATACCCGTGGTGGGCATATCACAGATAGCCCATTGTGTAACTTTGTGCTTAACTTCAAATAAACAAATAAATAAACATATTCTCGGAATCACGTTTTCAAATAACCTATAAATAACCGGTGAAATTAACCATTCAATAAATGTCACAAATAAAAGTAGAATTAATTTTTATAGGAACTACACAAATGATTGATTAGTAAGCCAGCACAGCACGCTCTAATCACGTCTTGTCGGTTTAACTAGGTAAACTAAAAACAAATTTTAAATACATTATATTAATTTCTTTGTGGCACGGGGCCCTACTTCTGCGCGTACTGCACATACCTATAAATCCGCCTCTGTCTGTGCGAGACATAGCCACTGCAGCTGCCACTGTGAGTTTGAAGTTCTCTTTATACCATGTCACAGCAAAAACTGCCACTGTTATCGTGAAAATATTTCTCTCACTCAGGTGGTGTCTCATTGTTTCTTTCTTCAGCATGTCCCTCAAAGAAATTATCCATCAAAATGTCTTCTCGATCTGTAGAGGTCATTGCAGGGTATGCCTTCCTCTACAGATGATACAGATCATTTGCATAAGTGGCCAAGCTATCAAAAGTGATCCTCTTCCAAGCCTTGAACTTGGCCCAGTGGATTGCTCAATTTTCCAATAGGTCGACTGGTCTGCAATTTGGCAACAACTGTTTGGCAGTCTCAAAGCTGTGTTTCACTCAAGTGCTCAACAGATTCTAGGGCTGGACTGTATAGACTCAAGATTAAGCATTGAGCAGCCTGTTCAGGAGAACAGCCATTCCAAGCAGTTGCCTGCCTGAAGTCATTCAGGAAATGATACAAATTTTACTTCACCACACCTTTGAATGTCACGGGTGTAACCTGTTTTGCCTCGATCATAGGGACCCAGAACCTCATGGCCTCATAGTGATAATCTTACGAGA